TACCATAACGGCGACGAGTAGAGCTAACCAGCTGCAGAAGGTGGCTGACACGGTTACTCAGAAGCTGGGCTAGGAAGTACGATCTCATTCACCAAGCTGTACGTACTTACCCGTTTAGACTGTCATTTATNTCAGCCCAAACTTTCACATTACATCAGAAAATATGAAGTCAATCTGCCCAGACAAAGTTGTCCAAGCCGTCAAGCAAAGACTGAAGAAAGATATGAGTTGTTTACAAACTGAACTCTTAGAGTAATCAGCAAATAAATGACGCCAAAGACCACACTCCCAACAAGGATAATGTACATTTTTTGATAATAAAAATAAGATATAAATGGATTTTCCCAGATCTCTGCTATTTTAAAATACTAAGCTTCGAGCGGAAGTGATGTAGTGGCAAGTGGTGCACTATTACATAAGTATGGTCACGGGTTCGAATCTCGGAGCGATATCCGCCTGGACTTACCAGGGCTTCCACCCCTCCGGGATCGCTTATTTGGCAGAATCGTCTGGGATGATAAAAGCACTGACTTGAACATCGGCTGGCCACCAAAGTTATTGCATGGGCTACACATGCATTCAATACGCTACTGAGGTTTTGAATGGGAGTCGAATGCGGGGCGCATCCCTCAGACAGAGTTGATTAACGCCACAAGTTTTTATCCCCTTATCCCTACCAGCTTCACCTTAAAAAACTACATAGTAATCTGATTAAGCTCACTGACCTTAGGACCATGAGAGGAACACAAACATGAAGAACCGCCACAAAAAATGTTTGAATATTAATTCAGATTTAAGTAGGGGTTGCTTCAATCTGATTCTTCAATTTCTTTGGTAGTATCATCCTTTCCATAGGTTATCTCCAGCTTTCTTATTAACAAGATTTGGATGGTCGGCAGTGACATAGCAACTCTTGAAGACGCCACTTAGGAAGCAGGCGGACCCGGAAAAGAAATCTTGACAGGAGCTGTCCCTGGAACTAATTGCTCCCACGCAGTGACACTGCTTTTTCTTTTTTCTCAAAAAAAAGATGTTATTTATGTATTTATTATGAAAGGTTTGCAGGCCCTCAGTAGGACGTATCATCACGAAAACCTGTCTGGAATCTAACTTATGCGTGTGGCATCCTGTGTTGCTTTGACTATTCACTGCCACTTCAAAAAACCAGTTTTGCTGATGTATTCTTGGAAACCTTCTACTCTTTGTCCAAGTGCTTGTGAAGGCAGACATAGCACTAAATTGCTTCTGTTGCGATGCGTTTCAGCCTTAGATTAATTGTTAAGCCAATTAGGCCAATTTTCTTTCGCCTCAGAACTTCACATCCTAATAACAACTATGCAGTAAGTCGAATAATGGGGCAAAACAAAGGACTTATAGGAACGGTCGTGAAAGTCAATTGGAGGTATCATTCAAAGTAAGTGAGGCGTCTTGCTGTCATAATTATAATATCCACAGCGTAATTCTTTGTAATTATTTTCAAGCAACTCTCGTATAGCTCTATTTGAACAGTTTTAATGGAGGGGCAAAGAAATCGCAAACAATGTCGTTAAAGGCACAATTCACGATAATTTTGAGGTACCCGTTTTTATTTGAAAAGTGGAAGTACAGATTGGGAACAGTCCATCGGCAGTGAAGAAGGCGGGAGAATTCGCCGATCTCGAGAAAACATGGCTCTTCAAAAGTAGGGAAAATAGAGGTTGGACAAGATTACCATAACGGAAATAACATGGAAGGGGTATTCGGACGAGATTTCAGTCAGTGCAATTTCACAAAGAGCTGACTACATCAAGCCAGAACTGTATTGTGATTGGCGCAGCCTCTAAAATGTCGGTGAAACTCGTCCGAGGATACACACGGGCCTATCTTTGAGCCTTTATAACTCCCTAACTAGGCCTTTTTCCGACCTAATAGTGCCAGATATGGTATACGCGGGGACCTCAAATTCACCCTGTGAGGGAATCTCAGAAACCATTTTTATCGCGATCTGTGCCTTTAAGTGTGCTACCTAAAAATCGACTACATTCCTTGTATCTATCCATTGGTACTATTCTAGATACGTACTTTGAACAACACGAAATTCAGCGCAAAATCGGGTGAGGACCGAAACGTATTTGAGAGAGCGCTTAGGCCATTTGTTCGCTCTGATTGAGAGAACAAAGAAACAATGGTAAACGATTAATCTCAATCCGTGAGCATAACGCATCATGTGTGTGAATGTTTTACCATACAAGCAGTTTCATAGGAAAACTGCCTGATGGAATAACATTGAACGAGATCGACCACATTTTCACAAGCCGGAAGTGGAGTCGTCTAAAGACGTCCGCGACGTAGGCATAGGCTCAGGTCGTCACCTGATGAAGGCAGAATCCACCAAACAATCAATCTAAAGCTGAAGAAACAAGGGGAGGAAGTGGAAGAGCTGAAAGACCCGACCATCGTTTCGAAATTTGCACTGGATTCGCGGAATCGCTTAGTTAAACTACTAGAAAAGAAAAACAGCTCAAAGGAATGGACTTCCCTTAGAAGAGCTATTCAGTAATGTGCACAGAGAATAAACGGAAGGTCAGTGAATTCAGGAAAGCACCAAATAGATGGGAGGAAACAACGAGAATATATGCTAAAAAGGATTATCTATGTAGTTGAAATGTCTTGTCATCATGAGAAAAAAATCAGGCTCCAGGCTGACGCAAAAAGGAGAAGAAGTTCAACATCCTGCTGAGCTGAACATGGGGACTCAAAAACGCCACGACATTTCTAAAGAGCTGAATGGAAACCCAAGCAAATTCACTATACCAATTCAAGACTGTAATGACAAACTTCTCTGAGCGGGAACAAATAAATAAATAAAATGATGGGTTCCTTAGACCCTTCGAACAATCTCAGAAGGCTTGCTACTTTAATGTGATGTGTTTTCTACGACAAATTAGTTTGATGCCTACACTAGCAGTATGATGTCAGCGGACAGATAAGACATAGTGTAAGCCATACCTAAATGTTCGATAAGTTTGTAGGTCATGAATTCCCTCAATCGAGTAAATTTAAGTCAACAAGTTGTGAATGAACAAGGCGACCAGTTGAAAGCAAAACATATGAATGAATGGCTTGTAGAAGATATTCAGGAGGATAGGATGTACCTTTTTCGAGAACCTGTGTAGCCCCACTGTCTTTAGCTTTTCACTTACACTTGCTTTTTCGCTTCTGCTATTGTTGCTAAAGGAGGACTGATTCGGTTATGTACTTATTCCCAAAGTAACAACATCCTGCTCAAGAGAAAGGACTGCTGGTGAACTAGACCGAACAATGGATTTCCTGAGCAGGAAATCTAAGAAATATGCGAACCATTAGGCTTTGTTTGTTACCTTGGCTATTTTTTGAACTTTCATAGACATGTAAACAACCAAAGTAGCTTGCTAGGGCTCACATGTGGAACTGCATAAGAAAAAAAGGAACTCACTGATTTCATTAGTATTGGGACTGTAGAACGCATTCACAAGTGCTGCTCCAGCCACCCATCTGAAAAAAAAACGTAGACTGTACTTGGGAAGGAGTACCCAAAAGGGGTCGAAACATTTTGCTGTACAGGAAGTTTTGCGACACTTTGTGTTCGGCAATCGCTAACTTTTTGAAAGCAAATGGCGCTTCACTTGCATCATTCTCGTTGCCGATGGTTTCCGCAAAATTCTTTCATGAGTGAGTTCATGAGTTCCTCACGAACTCCGTCAGTTGGACAGGGCCTGTCGTATTGACACTGCCGACACTGTTGACAGGGCACACTACGTCCGAAAAGTAAGATCTCTTAGTTGGGATAGTAAAGGAAAATGAAAGCTGGGTCCTTTACGCCAAAACTACATGCACGAGCCAGAGGCTCCCAAACCCTAACATACGCTAGGCTACAATGAATTCTCGGAAGGTGGCATTACCATAACGGCGACGAGTAGAGCTAACCAGCTGCAGAGGGTGGCTGACACGGATACCCAGAAGCTGGGCTGGGAAGTACGATCTCATCCATCAAGCTGTACGTACTTACCCGTTTAGACTGTCATTTATTTCGAGCATTAAATTGACACACACGAGATAAGCAGTTCGATAATTAGGGTCTACTCGAAAGTAAGGTAGCCAACTTTTTCAGCAAGCAGCCTTTGAACATCTGGAGAAGCTGGCCAAGGAGATGGATGGAGTTCATCAGTGACAACGGAACTATAGCAATGTCGACGTTGTATGATGATCAATGAAAAAATTTTATCTTTTAGTTCTTTCTGACAGTGTCGCAAACTTCCTGGACAGCCCAATATGTTTTGCATATGGCTCGCACTGGCGCAAGTGCTACTTGCAATCAGTGTTGCTAGCAGAAGCGATGAAGGCCGAAGGAAAAGTAGCAAACTGAGGCAAAGCTTCACCGTTCTCTATCCACTGGTTGAGCTATCCGTTCCAGTACGTCTCTTTGGTATTGCTCATAGAACTGGAATTTGGTCTTGTAGTAGCCACCGTCGTATACCTAAAATCTAAAGCATGGTTCGATAATTCTGGTTGAGAAAATCAGAAAGCTGACCTTAAATAACCTATATTCATGATCCACTGACTTGGAGTCGTTCAAATAGTCAGGATAGCCAATTTTCTGCTTCATTGTACGCACCTATGAATGAAATATGATGGGATCTCTGTCTGCGATGATATAAATAGGTAGACTCGTACCTTCTGCTTTGCAAACTCTTTCGTCTCTTCAGTTAGCCAGTCTTCGGATACGAGCAGATCGACAAACGCTTCCATAATGAGGCTAATCATCTCCTCAACCTAAGTGAATGAATCATGCATTATGCGTGTAAGCGGAAGGGCGGAAAAGGTCCGAGCTGTTTTTTCAATTCTATTTTTGGAAAAACCTTAGATTCTTTCGTCCTTCTCAAGACTTCCGTAGCTCCCTGTTTTGCAGCATTAAGCTAGTCCCTGGATCACGTGCTCCGTACTGCCCAAAGCGATCTGTCGTAATGATAAACAAACCGCTCACATCACGCTCGTAGTAATAGGATGTGAAGCTGTCTTGGCTATCAGCCAATCTTTTTTGGCACTGTTGACGTATAGTTGTTCTCCCACTTCATTCCCATTTAGAAGCTGCGCTTAAGAAGTCCAAGTAGTAAATAATTGGTTCGACGCTTTTCTTCGAAAAGAAAAGTATTCAGAGGGTAATAAATCTGAATAGGACGAAGGTGATCTAGCGGCAAGTGGCGCACTTCACATACGTGGTCGCGAGTTCGAATCTCGGATCGATATTAGCCTAGGCCAACCAAGCCTGCCATTCCTCCAGAGTTGGTTAGTTGGTACCAGACTCGTCTGGGAGGATAAAATCGCTGACTTGTACATCGGCTGGCCACCGCAAGTCATTGTAAAGGCCACATACGCATTCACTACGCCACTACGATTCTGAGTGGAAGTCGAATGCGTGGGGGCATCCTTCGGATGGGATTGATCAACGCTCCAAGATTAGTCCTTTAGTAAACCCGATCAAATCAAAAATGGCGCGGTAGCCCATTGTGGGTTAGTGAATAAGGTTTTTGAGGCTGACAGCTCACAATCTATATAGCTCATTCGATCCGAATGAAGATTTCCTGACAGTCTTTGCCATCGGACGGATGTTTAGCCATGTGGAGGTGTGACTGGGAATCCAAATAGGACAACCCGTGGAGCAATACCATACCGTTCTTAGAGAAATTTAGTATTCCCATTACTTACTCATCGTCTTTGTCCCTATTCTCCAGAATTTTCAAATCCTATAGCTGTGCCCTTTCCAAAGTCGAACATTCTGCCAGGGATTACGAGCGAATGGGAGGGGATTTTGTTCTCAATCACATGAACACGTTGTAATATTAACAACACGATTAAAGAAACCCATCGATTGCATTTCACATGGCACAGTAGGATGTGGTTCCTAGTCATTAACTTCGCCATACAGAATCCTCTTTGTGTACAAAGTGCATGCTCCAAGTGGGATCTATTCTTCTATTTTTCTTCCGAACAACAACAACAAGTAGATGTTATGGTTATGGTAATGGTCATTCCCCATACGTCAAAGAAGAAGTCAACGACAAAAGGGGCAGTCGTGGCGTTTCCACGCCTACGCATATTGCGCAGCTCATCCTTACCTGCTTCTTAGCTTCATGATCAAAATGATGCTTAACGTAGATTGACGACGTAGCCATTGGCATCAGACTGTTTATCCGTGTCACACAACCGTGCCACCGCACTTTTTGCACGTTCATTACTGTAAAAGTCGTCCTTATTTCATCCAGACGGAAGATGACACAAAATAAGTCATCACCTACAATTAAGGGTTTTGTAGAACTTGAAGATTGTGAGAGCAAAAGGATCGGGCAGATCTCGTAGCATCGTCTTGAAGAACCAACACCATTCGAGGTAGTTCACCACTCGCCTCAAAGAGTCTCTAGTTATTAAAACCTTAACAACTTAGAAACCTCATTTGTGATTGCCGTTCACAATTCTTAAGTTTTTGCTGAAGTGTTGATTTCGCGAATTTAAATTCTCGATTTTTTAGAATAAATAAAAACCGCTTGCTTTAGCATAATTTAATGATAACCTTTTCTCGAATTCTGGAAGCAACTTATCAAGCCGTCGGAGAAACTCCACACCATACACAACCACCTCAGCATTGTCATCGAACTGGATTTGGGTGCCATTCTGAAATCGGGCAAAAATAGCCACTGCAGCAAAGGTTATACACAGTTACTTTATTCTCACCCATTTGGAGCACGTTTTTCACAACATCAGTTTACTATACTTTCATCTTAGAACGACGCCCAACATCCATAAATTTTTAAATACCCTCCATTTCCAGAAAGAGAAGGGCTTCCGCTACGCAATATTTGTTCTTATGGTCTCTCTGTTATGTTTCGTTTCTTCCTGTTCTTCCATTTACTGTTCTTTTTTCTTGTTGGGTAACACCACTGGAAGCTTGCCACGGACGTTGCAAATTTCAAAGCCGAAATCATGCAACGTCGTAAGTATCGCGGGTGTTAAGCCGCGATTGCACGCGCCGCCTTATGATCTTCCCCAGCAGTAGATCAAATATCGGTTTCGCGCCCAAAGCGCGGGCATATACGACGGCAATACTCCGCTTTGGGCATCATTTGTCATTGCGCCTCTCCCCAGTAATCTTCATTTCATTTATCGATCGGAATCCCTCCGGAAGCTTACTGTTAATCATCTTCTCATATTCTTCTCTCGCGCGCTCTTCTTACCATCTCAATGACGGGAATCCTTTATATCATTAATGGTTGATATTTCTCAAGTCATTTATCGAGACTACCACTGTAGCAGCCTCTTGTGTCA